TTCATCCACGTATTCATTTTTTGTGGAAAGAATGGCACGAGCACTTATATAAGACGACAATATTCCATTCTTGTCAAGTGAAGGAAACACTTCGTTTATCAACTTACTAACCGAGGCACCTAAAGTTGTGGAACCTATAACCATCTCTTCAGGTAGATGCACATAGTCTTCACCAATTGATTCTTCAACACCATTGCCAATTCTCAAGAGAAAATCAGAGAACCATGGATCTTTTTGTGCTCTCATATTGCGCCAGAGTTTAATTTGTCTTATATCCTTCCATAGATAAGATTTTTTAAGAGTGGCATTAACAATTTGGGCTCTAGTACCACGTCTAACTACTGGAAGGACTTGACGGAAATCTCCTCCGAACACAATTACTTTTCCTCCAAACTGTGATCTATTACCTGTAATATCTTGCAGGGATCTATCCAGCGCCTCAACAACTTGTCGTTTTGTCATGGCGACTTCATCCCAAATTATCAAAGATGCTCTTCGAAGTAATTCAGCTGTCCCACCCTGCTTATTGATGTTGCACACAATATCCTCTTGAACATTGATCGGTATTTTAAATCTGGAATGCGCAGTCCGGCCACCAGGCATGATAGAAGCTGCAATGCCAGATGTTGCTGTTGCAATGGCTATCAACCCCATGGATCGTACTTTAGCCAATAAAGCTTTATAAAGGTACGTCTTTCCTGTACCTCCTGGACCATCAATGAAGAAGACCTTACCCTTCCTGTGCAACACGTGGTCCATTATTTCATCAAAAGCAAGTTGTTGTTCATTGTTTAGAGTTGCCTCCAGCTCCAGGTCTTCTTTAGCAACTTTAATAGACATTTCTTCAGTCGGTTCTTTAGCATCTAAGATATCTAGGTCATCAGCATCCAACAGATTTGGAAGATCAAAGGTCTTGATGTCCTTTCCCATGGAATATAACAAATCTTGAATATCTCCAAGCACCAGTTTCTCGACTGCTTCATCACTTATGCTCTCCCTACGAAAATCATCAGACATTGCTTCAAAGTGTTTGTTCCATAATGCACGAACATTTGTAACTTCGCAAAATGCCAAAACTGTAGCAAAAAGCCTTCTAAGTGCATAGGGCATTTGAAATGTAGCAGCTTCAGTGAGACAGTCAGAAATACTATTATCCGCTTCTATGAGACCCCTTCTCTCCGCAGCTTCTCTAAATGTGGAGAAAATAACACCATCAATAGTACATAAATCATCAAAAGATGTGGGCCCCCTCACATGGTTTAGCAATATTCTCAAGTAATAGCGTTCTCCTTCTGCAGGGTGAGCCGCAACAAGTCGACCTATTTGAATTCTCTGTGTGCGCCGTTTCCATGTTTTGCGGTTCCTTTGCCATGTATAAAATTCAGGGAATTCCTTATATAGGAAATTTCTAGCATATGGATCAATGGAATTCATTCTAAAAAACTCGGTAAGCATTGTCTTGGAAGATGATTCTATACTAATCACATTCTCCAAATTATCGCAGTCTTTATAACAGACCGTATGCAAATTTGGCAAATGGACCTGTAACTGTAGGACAGGAGGTGACATCCCACTCAAATTGAAAGAGTAAATTCTCCATATTGCTTCTGGAGGTGATATAAAGCGGGCATCTCTATACTCACGAATTTCATTAATAACTCTACCTCCTGCGGCTTCTACGATAAAAGAGGCACGATCATGACCCTTGTAGATGTACTTAAATAAATACTTAACAGCCTTGATGCTGGAGCAAACTTCAATGTTTATATGGCAATTGTATCTCATAAGTAGGTATGGATTGTATGGCACAACCCATCTATTATCCAAAACAGATCCCCTAATGCGCACTTTACGGCCATCATCCCTGCGTCTATAAATTGGATATGAGTCCTTGCCTTGCAATGTAGCATCTGAGAATGCCCGGGGATAGTGGTATTTACACTCCCCATTTGGGACAACCATTTGGGACATAGATGGTGCTGTCATGGTCTTCATGCTCATTGGCTACAACATGTTCATGTGTTTCCTTTCCAGTACTACTACAACTTGCCCCATTAGACAGTCTCCTTCTCTTATGTCCACTGCCCTTGTCCAGGAATGCTGCTATACGCTTATGTTGACCAGTACCTGTCGATACATTACATGTTGTTAATATGTCAGATGGACTGATCACAGTCTAATTTTTAGCAACCAAACTGATTATGCCAACTCAAAGGATATTGTAGGACAGAAAGTTTAAACCTCCAATATTGGTCTGTGTTCCAGCAAAAAAGAAAAAAACATATATTATAATATTTATTGACAAATAAAAACAGAGTAGTAAATGGATGTTAATGTTCTAATTATCAGAAATGCACGCTCTGGAGATAAACAAAACATAATCTGATCGAGTGACCATTCATGTTATTAAAAAATAATACAGAATATTATTGCATTAATATATACCTTCTGTTCTTGTACTGGCGAGAGTTGTTGCATGCATGCTTAAACTGGTACAGTTACAAGTTTGACTCCCAGATTGTACATTATTACTAACTTCAACGGGATTTTTCCTTCTCCGTTTGTACTCACGGTTTCTTTGTAGGTAGGCAGCGCGCTGTTCTGCAGTCATCCGCAAGTATCTTTCCCGATCACGATAACGCTTACGCTCGGAAGCATCTATTGGTAGAGTTATGTGTCCAGCCGAAGGAGTAGTTGACTGTATGGATATGCCAGATGGATTGACTGATCGTTTCGTCCCAGTAATTGGATGATCCGCTGAACCAAGAATATTTTGCGCTGAAATGAATAGAATATTTCGAACAATCTGTGAGCATTCTTTTTAACACACAAGGCATAAGTTATTTTCATTTATATATCAACATCTAAGAAGCTGTAATATTGTTTCAAAAATATGGTGACCAAAAATATTAAAAATATACCTTGTTTTCTCTTTGATAAACTATGTGAGTCAACCAAATTTGTAATATCTTGAAAAGGAGCCCGTCTTGGCATTCCAATGGATGTTGTATGGCTACTTGAATTTCCTTTCACTTGCTTCCTAGATAATTGTCCGCAATATAAGTCACTGAGTAACATAGTAGACACCATTAGCACAAGCATAGGAAGAAAATGCAGCAGTGTATACACGCCAAGCTTAAGTCACATCAAAATTATTGCAACAAACCATTTTCTTTTTGCATATTAATTGATACAAACTCCAACAATATTAGACAGTATTGATGCTTTGGTCAGTACACATTTTGTCATGGTACAGTGGAACATGCACGCATTTATTATATATATATATACATATATATATATATATATATATATATATATATATATATATATATATATCAAACGTTAAAATCAATGAAGATGAGCTTCTAAATTGGCTATAACACTTACACGGAAGTATATCAGAAATTAAACGGAAAAAAAAACTTTGTGGACATAAACTCAAACACGTGGTGGGCAGAATATGCTCTGACATATTTCTTGATTTCTACACTGAAATACAAAATCTGGGTTCAGATTCATGGCATCTGATATACAGTAATAGAAGATATACAGAAAATTAAAGAAGTTAGCACCACTTCTATAATTTTTCAATGGTATCTTACCTCTTCACATCGAAGCTGCCAGTGCGTGAGGTTGTGCTCATATCGGTTGGGCTGCACTGGTATACCATCCGGCTGCTAGCACCTGCAGCGGCAGCAACTTCCGGGGTGGATTAGCAGCAACTTCCGGGGTGGATTAGCCTGAGGCACGTATGGGCGGAGATGCCAGGAAGCGGTGGCGGTGAGCACGTGGAACAGTACTCAGGGATGGTAAGCGCCTGAGGGAAAACTTCTGGGCAGCCCAAGTTTGAGCGATTGGAATCGAATTGGCACAGATGAGAAACTGGGGAGCTCTTGTCGCGGCCGACGGCCGGCGGCCGGCGGTGGAGGGCCGAGCTGTCGAGTTGTGGCGGCGCGAGTACGGAGCGACAGCGGGGGCGCGCTGATGCGAAGAAACAGAGTCTGCTTCAGCGAGGAGAGATGGTGCGGGACTTGTTTTTTGTATCGGTATTTTATTTAGGTGGGGACACTCTGGGTGCTTCTTAGAAACTATTCGCGCGCGCGGTGATGGCGCCCAAAACTTGAGCGCGCGCGGGACGAGTGCGAATCCGTGAGATCTTGGCCGTTGGATTGGGTCTAGTTAAGATTTGACGGTAGATTTTAGCACAGCGAGCTGAATCAACGGTTGATATTTGGTTTGGGATGATAGGAGGAGATCGAAGGGAACCAAATTCAAAACTCGTACACTATAGAGTAGTATAGATATTCTATACCTATATGATACTACAGTACAAACGACTTTACTCTCTCGCGATCGCTCGCGGGAGCGAGCGATTCCCATGCGTGGAGCGATCCGTCCAGGGCAGCTGGCCGCTTTTATCGCGATGATGGTGGGAATGCTCCCTCACGTAATCACACCATCCTGTCTGAATCGAGCGCTGCAACGCGCGCGCGCGCAATAGTCACGCCCCAGTACAAATTAGCGGTTCAGGTATTAGGAGGAATAAACAGATCTAACGCTGTCGGTATGGCTTGCCACACCAGGATTGGAACTCACAACTGACCCAGATCAAAGAATTACTCCCTCCCTCTGTCCCATAATATAAAAGCGTATGGAACGGAGGAAGTACTATATAGTCGATCCCATCTTCTTTGCGTGGCTAAACAAAATGACGAGGGGTGCACAAGGACGTGACCTTGGACTAGCTACGAATACGATAGGAAACCAACTTCCAAGCGAGGCCGGTTTTAATCCGGTTTGGTTTTGTATCGATGGAAGGTACTCGGACTTGTTTTTAGAAGAGGACTCCAGAGTCCGGCCGGATTCGATCGGGGATCGATCCCTACACGCTACATATACACAGGCACGTGGACATACATAACACATACGGGTAACATAACCTACCTACCTACTCATCGGAGAGCTTGTTGGATCTCTCGTCGTCGATCTCCCGGTCAATGGGCGCCACCCCCAGCCACTCGTCGCCGGCGGACGAGGTGCCGCTCCACGTGAGCATCTCCGGCTACTCCAACCTGATGCGGGTGCCTCTGCCTCGCCCGGAGACTGTCCGCATATTCTCCTTCGGTGATATCTTGTGGGAGGTCACAGTGAAACCGACGGGGTTCAACGAGGGCCTAGCGGACGGCCTCCACGTCTCGGTCGACCTCCACTCCCGATTCAGGTACAAACCAGACGTGGTGCTCGAAGGCATCGACATCTCCATGGAAGTCCTTGACGAGGCCGGCGAGAACACCGTTTTCCACCGGGAGAGCAGCGGGATGCTGGAATCCTCGAGGTTCTTGAATCTCTTCCTGTCCAGGAGGGAGCTGGAGGCATCGTCGTGCGTCCGCGACGACAGCTTCACCGTCAGGTGCACTCTGACGAAGCAGCGGTCTACAAAGTGGTGGCGCCTCTTCTCCAAATCTGACGAGCTCGCGGTCTTGGAGCCGCAGGTCGCCATGGCCGGATCCAACATGATCACCATCGGCAGCTTCTCCAAGCTCAAGGCCGCGCTCCGGGGAGGGGAGTGCACCTACTCCACCCACTTCGCTGTGGCAGGGTGCAGATGGTACTTCCAATTCTGTCCCAATGGCAATGGGCTAATTGGCCTTGTACGCGTGAGTAATGGCACGACGGCGACAACGGCGGAGTTCAGTTTTGAGCTCGAGGGGGTGGTCAATTTTGAGTCCGAAAAGATGACTCACACGTTCAACCATGCCAACAAAATGTACTTATATAGATGCAGGCTGGAGCCAAACACGTCGGCCATGGAGGATCGCCTCATTGTTCGGTGCCGCCTCGCCGTTATAATGGCGGAAAAGCTGAGCATACCCTCTGCCGCCATTACGGTGGAGAAGATTCCTCGAAAAATATTGGTGGAGAAGCCAAGCTTGCCCCCCGACGCGATTCGGATCGCTACCACCCCGTGCACCGAATCAATGCTAACTCCTCTACTGAGCGCCATGTATGATTGAGACAAGATATCTACTTGCATTACAAAGCCAATGCAAAGCTAGTTCATCAATAGGTGCAAATAGTTATTTTTATTCTTATTTTGTTTTTTAAGAAATATATGTGCTAAGAAAGATATGTGTTCATCGATGCAAAACCATTGGGTCAGTCTATGGCGCTGTTTTTTTAATTAGGTGACTATGGCACCGGTGATGGTGTTCTGGACTAGGGGTACTCACCACGTCGTCTTTCGACCAGGTGGGTCGGGCCAATGACTCCCGTGATGGTTCACTAATGGTCCACTTTGGGCAGCCCATGACATATACGAGGAAGATTCACAAGGCAGTGGTTAAGACAAAGACTCCTCTCCAGCGACGTAGCCGACCAGGACTCTTCTAAATTCTAGGCCTCCGGTGCATTATCTAAGCCGATGCCAGGTTACTCAATAGATCATCGAATCTCATATTCATTACAACAATCTCGTGGTTGATACTTGTCTATGTACTATACCCTCTATCAATACAATGAAAAGCAGGACATATGCATGATATTATCTCTTCAAGAGAGCCCAAACCTGGTCAAATCCTATGTCCATGTTACCATCGCTCCAAGATGCCTAGCTTAGGACCCCTGCCTTGAGAAATGTCGGATTTATCACCGACATTGGTGGCCCATGCAGGTTCCCGCTGGCAATCGCCGCGGTGTGATGGGAATTCGGATAGACTCCAACACAACGAATTTCATCGTCGACGTTGGTATCTTCGTCGCCAGCTCGACTCGTCATCTTGGCTAGACCGAGGACTATGCTTCGTGTCGGATCGTCAAGATTGAATGGGTGCCTTCATCATCAACTCAAATTGCAAATGAGATCATGGAAAAATCGTCCATGGAGCTCGGGGGCTCAACGTCAACTTTTCCCTCGTGCGGTCGTGTAGTTTTTTCTGGAGAGCGGATTCGTGTTCGCCGTCCCCGCCTCCTCGAGCGCCGAACTGTGAGGAATTGAGCCTATAACAACCCTGTAAGATTTTATCGTATTCCGATGGAGGAATCTCCGGCAATCTCCGACGCACCGAAGCCCTGTTGAATCTGGACGGGAATCTGGATAAGTTTCGGGCGAAGGGTACAGCGGCAAGCTCGAAAATATTTTGGAAGATCCAACAGTTCATCGGCTATGGAATTCCTATATAGACCACCCCTCAAAACTTCAGCTCGATCCAGCTGTTCAAACTCCGGGAACCGTCCGATGAGTGCATCAATTTTCGGATATGTTTTCTATGCGAAAACAAATTCAACCCGAGTTCATCTTTTTTCATGAACGGGTTATCAGACATCTTTTTGAAGGAAAATTTTCCTAGAGTATTTTGTTTTGTTCCTAAAACCTGTGCCCAAAATTTTAAAGCCTTTTCCAAGGCGATCTTCACCGTCATGCCGGTGTCAAATCAACCCGACAACGCTGCTCCACGGCTGTCGACCTGCACTAGACAGATCGTCGCTTCGTCGAGCCGAGGTTAACGTCATTGGATCATCACCCCCGGCAAACCGGCCAAGAGTTCGGCATCGTGAAGTGATATGTCTCCAACATATATATAATTTATAAAGTATTCATGCCATGTTTACAATAATTTTATATGGTTTTGGTGCACTTTTATATGATTTTTATGGAACTAACCTATTGACCTAGTGCCTAATGCCAGTTGCTGTTTTCTGCATGTTTTTGGTTTTCTAGAAAATCCATACCAATGAAGTCCAAATGCCACATAAATTTATGGTGATTTTTTATGGACAACAATAAACCCACGAAGCATCGGAGGAGCACCAGACGATGTCCAGGGGAGTCACGAGCTCACCAGGCACGCCCTCCCCCTAGGGCGCACCACCTGAGCACGTGCGTCCCACGGGACCCCCCTGGACGTGAAGTCAACGCCAAAAATTCTTATAAATAGGGAAACCCCCAAAACTTAACCCAAAACTTCCGCTCAGCCGCCGCAAGCCTCTGTTCCGAAGTGATCTCATCTTGAGGCCTTTTCCGGCACCCCGCCGGAGGGGAAATCATCACCGAAGGCCATCTTCATCATCCCGACAGTCTCCATGACGAGGAGGGAGTAGTTTACCCTCGGGGCTGAGGGTATGTACCGGTAGCTATGTGTTTGATCTCTTTCTCTCGTGTTCTCAATCCCGCATGACCTTGATGTACCATGAGCTTTCTTAATATAGTTGGATCATATGGTGTTTTTCTCTCTCTGTCTTATTGTGATGAATTGAGTTTTACCCTTTGAGGTTTCACTATTATCGGATTGAATATATTGGATTTGAGAGCACTTAATGTATGTCTTGCATGTGGATACTCGTGGTGACAATGGGGGTATTCTATCGAGTCACTTGATATATGTTCTGGTAACCAGCTTGCGGATTCTCGTGGTGACATTGTGGTAATCTACGCACATAGGTTGATACACATTTTCGTTCTACTTTCTCCAATGAAAACTTTGGGGTGCTCTTTGAAATTCTTTGTGTTGGATTTATTTATGAATCTGAAATTGTTTGATGCATACCGAATAGTTAACCCAGGGATACTTGTGGTGACATTGGAGCATCTATGTGACATTAGAGTTAATTGATGCATATCATATGGTGTTATTTTAGTACAAACTCTAGGATTGTTTGTGACACTTATAGGGATGGATCAATAGATTGATCAGAAAGGATAACTTTGAGGTGGTTTGCTACCTACAACAATTTCATCCTATGTTCTCTGATATTGATATGAACTTTGGAGTGATTCTTCGTTGCACATTGAGAGATTGTTATACAATTCAATTATGTTAGCATTGTTGAGAGATTGCACTAGTGAGAGTATGAATCTTAGGCCTTGTTTCTAAGCATTGCAATACCGTTCGTGCTCACTTTTTATCGCTTGCTACCTTGCTACTTTTATCATTTCAGATTACAAAAACCTATATCTACTATCCATACTACACTTGTATCACCATCTCTTCACTAAACTAGTGCACCTATACAATTTACCATTGTATTAGGTGTGTTGGGGACACAAAAGACTCTTTGTTATTTGATTGTAGGGTTGTTTGAGAGAGATCATCTTCATCCTACACCTCCCACTGATTGATAAACCTTAGGTTATTCACTTGAGGGAATTTGTTGTTGTCCTACCAAACTCTGCGCTTGGAGGCCCAACCAAGTCTACAAGAAATAAAGTTGCGTAGTAGACATCATGAAGGCTAAATAATCACCAACATCACCTCCTCATGGATTACACGGGGCGGGCAAACTGGCATCGTCGCGTGGTCACTTCATCAAGCCGGCATCGACCGCGTCACAAATTTTGACATGCGTCGGCATCACCGTGCCGCCTCTTCTTCAAGCCAACATCCAACACGAGGACCTACTTTGACATGTCGGCTCACATGGAGGTGCTACTTGTGAGCCGCGTTGGGATTTTCCTCGGAGAGGAAGGGTGAAGCAGCATAGTAGAGATAAGTATTTCCCTCAGCGAGAACCAAGTTTTATCGAACCAAAAGGAGAACCACGTAAATCCTAGTGAACAACACCTGCACACCCAAAAGAAAATACTTGCACCTAGCACGGGCAAGTCGGCTGTCAATCCCCTTGAACTCGTTACTTGCAAGGATCAAATCTTGGAGTGGTAGATAGATAAATTGCAAAACAAAGTAAAACCAAATAAATTACAACAAGGTATTTTTGGTTTATGTAATATGATTAAAGTAGACCCAGGGGGCATAGTTTTCACTAGAGGCTTCTCTCTTAAAACAATAGCATGCGGTGGGTAAACAAATTACTGTTGGACACTTGATAGAAAAGCGCATAATTACCGACTCCTCCCTGCATCTACTACTATTACTCAACCAATCAACCACTATCCAACATGCATCTATAATATTAAGTTCATGACAAATAGAGTAACGCCTTAAGCAAGATGACATGATATAGACAAAGTAAACTCAATCAATATGAAAAAACCCATCGTTTTACCCTTAATGGAAACAATGCAAATACGTGCCTCGCTACCCCTTCTGTCACTGGATGAGCACACCACAAGATTGAACCCATTACAAAGCACCTCTCCCACTGAAGATAAATCAATCTAGTTGGCCAAACCAAACAAATAGATCAAAGAGAAATACAAAGCTGTCATAATCATGCATAATAAAGTTTAGAAAAAACTCAATACTTTCAATGAATAATCGGATCATAAACCCACAATTCATCGGATACCAACAAACACACCTGGCGGTGTCCTGTACTAGGGGGTCCTAGCCTAGCTGGCCTAGTCCATGGGTGTGACACACCGACTCAATCGTGAATCATACACGCAAATGTGCATGATCAAGATTAAATACTCACGGGAAGATATCACAACACAACTCTAGACATAAATTCAAACATAAAGCTTTATACTACAAGCCAAAGCCACAAAGGCTCGAATACATAAGTCAACGGAAGCAATAATGTCAGAGTACATACATAAGTAAACAAGTTTGCCTTAAGAAGGCTGAGCAAAAAAATGACATCTAGATCGAAAAAGGCGCATGCCTCCTGCTTGGGTGCCTCCTAACTACTCTTGTTCGTCGGTGGTCTCCTGGGCTCCGTGATCTGATCACAACAATCGGGCAAAAGAGGAAAATAGGTAGCAAAGCAACCATGAGTACTCAACCAAAGTACCCGCAATACTTAATTACATTACATCTATACTAAGTATGCATCGGTATCAAATGAATGAGGCTATATCTTTGGACTAAACTGTAGAAATGCTAGAATAGAAGGGAAGGCCTAGCCTATCGAAGACTAGCATCTTGCAGCGTCTTGCAACATTAGAGGAGTGCAGATTAGCATATTATAAAGTAAAAAGTATATAGTAACACCCAGAGATCCTTCCTTGACTCCCTGCAAGGAAGCGATCCCGAAGCCATCATATCCATTTAGTGTCTCCAGTATCTAGTTCTAGCTTCTAGTTGTAATAGATCAGGATACAACTCCAAGCGTCCGT